CAGCATGCCGGCCCAGGGATCAAAGCCTCAGCTAATCTTTAATCTGCTAAACTATTTGGTCAGCCCTTCAAAATGCTTCATTTCGAGAGGTTGCTTTTGAAAAGTAATCTTGGTCTATAGTACAGTGTTCAATTCAGTAGTAATTGTGAAACACGTAGGTCAACTCTCGTCTTGATCATTCTGCCTAAGAGAGGGAAGATTAGCAATCCCTAACCCTGCTGTGACTTGAATGCTAGAACAGGGCTGTGGTCCTTGAGAGGAGCAGGGCAGCCAAAGATGGCTGGAAAAGCTGTCCTCATGCCTCACAGAAAAACACACGTGCCCTCTGGCACAAGCCCCAGGTGGAGCTTGGCAACGGGGGCCTCTGTGCAAACTCTGCAGGGCAGAAGCGACACAGAACTGTGGAACAGCAGCTGACCAGCTCCAGCACCCAGTTCCCTCTCCAGGCCAGGGCTCTGAGTGCGGCACGCACAGCACCCCAAGTTAGCAGGACCCAAACCCAAATCATACGCTCTTAGCAAACAGATGGGCAGCTACCAGGCAAACAGCCATCCCAGGCTTCCTGCTCTCTTGGAAGGGTTGGTCATCGAGGCACAGAGGCAGCAGGGAGAGGTTCCCATTTGTCCACCAGAGAAGCAAATCACTTCGCTACCAAAATGCTCCCGAGAGCTCCAAGGCTACTGAGCTCACTGTCTCGAGGGTCAGAGCCAGTGCACCTGCCTACCTCCTTGCCCTAGATTTGTCTCTGAAGTTCAAAGGTGTTCAATATGAAAAAGTGGTCTGCCAGCCTGGAGAGCCCCGAGTGCGAGCACGGAGCTTCAGTCCTGCGCACCCAGGCGGCACTGCGCGCTGCAGCTCCAGGTCATCTGGCTGCCACGTAGGTGTCAGTGAGGTTGACACCACCTTTGCTTACCTGGCTTAGCAACTGGCTCATGGCAAGTGTTAATAAGTGTGTGTCCTTACACTGGGACAGCGGTACTGACAGCTAGAACAATTTTAAAGACATTTTTCTTTTTAAAAAAATACATGCCAGAATGAGTCAACATTTCTGCTTCAAATGCTACAACTCTTCTTTCCTCCTGGTGACCAAGGTATGTGCTTTTCTAGAAAGCACTAAAACAGAGGCAGAGACGTCAAGAGACGGGCTCCTGTCTGTCCCCTCAAATATCAAGCAGTACCAATACTCTTCTATACATTACTGGGTCCCTAGACAAGGTATTATTGAAGAAACGAGTCTGATATTCTAGTAAAAAATCTCAAAATTTTTTATATAAAAGATTACTTAAAATTCTACAAAAATGAACAATGTATGAGGTTAACAAGTTGGTTCAAGAATGGTCTTACGTAAGCATCACCTTTGAAGAAGCGGGGACTACACAGCCTGGATATAAATATAAATTTTCCCAGATCTCAGGCCCCATGTCCCTCTGCATAGTATCACAATATTCAGAAAATAAACTTTCTCAGATGTACAAAAACAATGTAAAGGATGTTATTCAAAAATGACAGAAACAGTTAACTACACTTCTCCATAAATAAAGTGAGCCAAACGAATTCTCATTCAGAAGCCCAGTGTTATCTTTTTCAAAATCTAGCTATCCTACAATATTACCACATTAATAATTTTATCCATATCTCCATCTTTAAATCATCACAGTTTAATATCAGCTTTACACCTGCCTCCCATGTGGCTCAACATAAGCTGTAAAACCAGATTTATAAGACGGAACTAACAAGACAACATCCAGCAAGCCTTAGTAAAGTTGAGATTTAATATCCACACATTTCTAGATTGCTCTTTGACTTAAACGTACCAGCACATCAGTTTTCAAAAACATTTATCATGATGTCATATTAACTTCTAGTATTTCAGATAATTGATTGGAGAACTCCCCCCAAAATATTCTGGAACTGAAGAAACTCTTCCTACAGTGGCCCTCCAAACCCCGAAGCCTTGACGCACGTTCACAAAGAAACTTTTGATGCTTTTTTCCCCAAACGCAGGTGTGTGACTTACTCCCAAAACAGACAGGAGTGTTTTTCAGCATCCGCTGCCCCCTGCTTAAACACACCCCATAGTGTTTTTCAGCTCATAAAACTTTTATGAGCTGAACAGTTCCTTCAGGTTTCCTGAGCTGCTAACTCTCGTTGCCTTCAGCAATGGCACCGAAAGTTCTTATTAAGATCCCCATTTGAGCAAATAGGGCACAAGCACGCCCTGAGTAGCATGTTCTGTTTCATGGTATTTAAAAAAAAGAAAGAAACAAACAAAGATTTATATGACTTGCTGAGTGCAAGAAAAAAAAAACAAAACGAATGCCTGGAGTAGGTGAGCATGGGTGGTATTTTCACTTACACAGTAGATGTAAAGGTCAATTCTATTCAGATGAATTGATTTATACAAGTTCACACATGCATCAAAGATTTTCCAGTCTGGAAAAATGTCCCTTGACACGTCAAAAGCTTGGCCTTCCGGGCACGCGTGCTCTTTCCCCTATTAGCCCAAGCACCTGCCTTATGACTCGTTAACTGTACATCTGCTGTACAATTGTTCCTTGATGAAGTTCAAAATGTTTGGGCACTGAATTTCTCAGAGAAAATAAATAAAATTGCTGTAAGGGAGCTCAGTGTTTTAGGAAGACAATAAACAATGCTGTTTGTCCAAAGAACAGTGTATGTAGAACACAGGAAAACAGATAGGTTGATTCACAGATACTCTAATGCTCAATTTACACTACTACTACTATTACACACACACACACACACACACACACACACACACACACAGATATGCACGTGCACACATACGCACACTCTGGATTCCTGCCCATTGTAAGCCCCCGAGTACTCCATGGAGGCATCTGGCCAATTATTAGCAACACAAAGTCAAATTACTTGGAGGGAGGAGCATAATCCCATGTTTCAGAAGTGGAAAAAAGAAAGGAAACCCTTATTCACGTCTCCCAGGCCCACACACTCACAAATACACGCCTTCATACAAACTGCCCCAGGGTTAGCTTGTACAGATGCATTCTGAGTTCTTGATGACAGCCAACTCTTCTAGGGAGACTTTCCATTTTTTCCATTTCGTCATTGATTGGCCTGCTCTTAAGGCTCAGTTTCCCACTCAGAAGTCATTAGATGCAGAACTCTTACTGCTTTCCCTTATCACATCAATTCAGTATCTATATGAACAAAGAACTACAAATTGAGAAAAATCACTATGCAGTAGACGTACTTTTCCATTTTTCAAATGAAGCCTGAATGATAATTTACTCTTTCCTCCACCTTTATCGAACTCTCGCTTTGCACCTCCCAGGCAGGCGCTGAGCTATCACCCCAGCCCTCCCTTCACTTTTTTTTACAGTTCTTTTCCTCTCTTCTCTAGCTCTACGAAGAGCAATCCTCTTTTCATTCCTTGGTGACTCCTTTACTACTTCAGTTCCAAGAGACAGAATACAGAAGAGGAACCATGTTACAATCTTTGAGAAACAGCACCATCCTCAAGGAAATCAGGCTCCTAGCCTAGTCTCTTTCAACTAAGAAGTAGACGCCAGCACTCTTTCCTGCTAGGAGGGTAAATGCTTCTCTGCTCTCCAGGCCCCTTGGATTCACTAGCCCATTCCAGACATCAGAGGCTGAGGAAGCAGCAACCCCATCCCACCGGACACCAAATGGCTTGACACGAAGCCCCTGCCTGTCGCTCGGGTGTACTTCTGAGCAGCTACTGCAGGGCTTCGCTGCTCAGGAAACAACACCCCAACCGGGGGATTCTGTCAGTAAGAAGCTCTGGTGTCAAAAGGTATTTTTCTAGTCTGGCTTCTCAGAGCCAGGTCCAGGGGAAAAAAAAAAGAATGCTATTCATTTATTTCTTGTTTGTTTGTTTTTTGCGGAACCGGGTATTGAACTCAGACCCTTGTGCTTGCCAGGGAAGCACTTATTCCACTGAGCCATCTCCCTGGCCTATTCATTTATTTCTATTAATTACAATGTAGTAACCTGCTAAAATCAATTATCTTAACTTCTAAATTAAAAAGACACAAGCAGACCTGAATTGATCCACTGAGCTGTATGTGCTATATATTCTCAACCCAGATGACCAAATTTAAAACGTGGTGCGGTCTCACCTTTAGGCAAAAGTAAGCAATACTTCATAGTGACAACTGCAATATTAATCAGTGTCAACAAACAGCCCTCATGAATTCTGCCAGAGAGATAAATCTTTGGAGTGCAGAAGAAGGCATCATAAATATCCCTAAAGATTAAAAAATAGTTAAGTCATAATATAAACATTATAGCCTGGTTTTAGGACCCAAAAATATACTTACATAGCTACCTTCTGAAATTCTATCTGATAGCATTATAGCAGTGCCTAGAACTCAACGAGGTTGTATCTCTTTAAATAATTCAAGCTGCAGGGAAGGTACTCAAAAGCTCCACAGGCTAAGAATATGTTGAATTTCATTTAAATAGCATGTACAGTACAGACTTGTCGTCCACCCAAGTTATACGGTAAACCTATACAATCCTGAAAGAGAAAAACCGAGGCACACCTCCGGGTGTCTTTCTGTCCACCCGAGGCATATGCAAAAATGACTTGCGCTGCTCACACTGTGAGTACAAAAGGTTAATAGGTACAGACTGATGGAATGTTAACACAGTCTAGGGCTGCTGGAGTAGTGACGTATGGAAAGACACTGAAATTAAAACATTTTGTTCTGCATGTTCTGAAGTGATGCCACATGATGGTTTGGTTATATTAGATGACAAAGCAGGGTTTCTTAGGACTTTGAAATTAACATTGGATCTAACATTATTCCAAACTATTTAACATGTTCTTCCAATTCTTGTACAAATATATGTAGCTAACACATTTTTTCACACTCCAGGCATCTTCTAAGGACAGTGTTTGGTATGTTGATTTTTTTTTCCCCCAAAAGTAGCTTTTAAGGCAAAATTCTGATCACCTTGAAAGCTATGGCTAGAAAGCAAAGACTTACCTGTCTTGTTTTCTCTGACCTCAATAATATAAACATTTATGTCATGGCGGAATTTTGTGCCCACTGGGGGTTGTGGAGTGGATATTGCATGAGGTCTGAAGGCCTCTTTGCCTTCCACAGTGGGTGGTCTTTGCGGAGGGGAAGAACTTGTGGTCTTGAAATACTCTCTGTCGATATCGCCTTCCGTTGCCTCAGCTATGCGATCAGCAAGGGTAGTGGAAGAAGAGCGCCATGTGGGTTCTCCCAGGAGCACCGTGTCCCAGGTGGTTCCCTCTCCAGAGTCTCTGTCAATGACAGAGGGTTCCTCAGTGTGTGCTGCAGGTGGCGTGGATGCTGAGGTTGGGTGACGTCTGTCGACCACACTGAATGGCGTAGTGCTATCACCTGGAACTGCCGTTGTAGTTGTTGAAAGTTGTGGTAATTCTGTGCCTCTGGGCTTCTCAAATAATCCTGAGCCTAAATCAATATAATCCAGGGAAGTTTTCTCCCTTTTCTCAGTAGTGATTTCCTCTAAAAGCGGAGTGACACGGGTGCCCCAGGGACTTGAGGGTGAGGTGAATTCTGCAGGACTACTACCTTCTACTTCGTATTTGTCTTCAGGCTCTCGACTTACAAATATTTCGGGCTTGATGCTTGGAATTATTGTGACCATTTCATCCCCTTCCACTTTGTGTTCAGTTACAGCACTAGCTGGATGCTCGATTTCTCCAACCACAGTTGTTTCAAAACCAGGAACACTCTCCACGCTTGTTACCATAGGGCCTTCTGGGACCGCTGATGCTGACTCTTCACCCTTGTCTTCCTCAGGCAGAGTCCTTGCCTCTGTGGACGTAGCTCCAGGAGAAGTGAGAACATGACCTGGTCTCCCCGTTGTGCGGTCTTCCCAAGGGGATTCTTCCTGCACTGTTGCCCGTACACTTTGCACTGTTGTTCTCAAAGTTTCAGGAGCCATAGTTGCTTCCAGGTGAGGCTGTTCCATGCCTTCTCCAGAGGGTTCAGCCAGAACCTCATCTTCCGGTGGAGCAGAAGGAGCAAACTCACCCTGGTCTATCTTGGGAATTACTGAGAGAGGAACAGTGTGGGAAGTGTCTGCATACGTAGTGGGCTCTGGGGTGCTACTGTAATTCATAAAAGCCCATCCTCCCCCATCTGAGGTATGTACAAATGAGAGAACAGTAGACAGAGGCTTAGAGACCCCTGCGTCTTCTCCTTCGCCCAACGCACTTCCTTCTATAGTAGCATAAATAACTCGGCCTTCTGTGCTTATGGTAGGTGAAACTCTGTCTTCAGTTACAGAATCTCTCCAAGTGGACTTCTCTGAAATACCTATTGATGGAGTTGGCTGAAATTTCACTATGACTTCCCCTTCCTCTGTCGAGCCTTCCTCAGCAAACTTTTCCAGTGGCTTTTGAGTACTCTCTGGAAAATGCACAAATTCATCTCTCCCATTTTCTGTAACAACTGGGCTGTCCTCATCTTTTCCACTCAATCCCATGGTGGTAACCATGACAGGGGCTTGTTCTGTAGAGCCTGTCTGCTCTGTGGACTCCAAAATCGTGAGTGTAGCATTGTCCTCATCCCATGACCCTTGTGATCCAGTGACCACCTCCACACCTGAAGTGCTGTGGGTCACGTGTGCTCCTATAACCTCTCTGTCCTGCCTGGGAGTATCTGGAGAGATATCTATTCCACCAAGAGTTTGCACAGTTTCTTCCTCCACTGCCCCTGCTACTGAGGGCTCCACACTCAACTCTGTTGTTGTCAGTATTGGGAAATCAAAGGCTTTGGTCTTTGCCACAGAAGATTCTGTAAAATGCACTTGCTCCAAGGAAGATGTAGAGAGCCTCATTCCAGAGAACTCTTCTTCCATGATTCCCATAAAGGGCTCTTTGGTGACTTCTCCCTGTATCCCATAATGTGTGTAAGTGTCAGTTCTCCTCTCTGGTCTCGGTGTCTCTATTCTTTCAATTCCATGTGTTGTTTCCATCTGTGGGGAAGGACGAACAGCTGTGGACATTTCCTCTACTGATATTTTATCACCAGAATAAGGAAGTGTTTCTACTTCTGTAACAAGCTGAGATGGGAGAAGTGTAGTAGACAGAGATGGGCCGAAGCTGTCTTCAGTTATTAGACCATTCGTTTGTCTCTCTTCCCAGTTCTCTGTGGACAATCCAGCATGGTCAGGTACAGTCACAGGGGAAAGGACTGTGAATGCTGACATTGACGTTAAGTCCTCTGGGGTCTTTGACACTGTAATCACTTCTGGTATTTGGTTAAAGACCAGTGTGCTCTGATCAGATCTGACCGTAAGTGTTCTGTCTTCCCCATCATCTTTTCCCAAGGTGACCCCGTAGTGGTTTGTGCTCACCAACTCAGGAAGAGCACTTACAGCTCTATCTTCACTTTGGGATTCTTGTTTCATTTCTGTGGATACAAGTGGTGCTTCGGTTACAGATGATTCCTTGGAAGGAGTGTGTTTTGAGACTTCCATAGACGTGACTAAGGGACCCACTTCTATTTGTTCAACCTGTGTCACAGATTTTTGTGTCTGAGCATCTCCCTTGACACCATCCCATAAATCAGTGATGCGCTGAGAGACAACAGTTGTGTTTTGGAGACCTTCTTCCTTAATTTCAGATATATCTGCTCTCCCAAGAGGTCCAGAGGCAGAAGGTGAATAGTAGTCCCGACGCTTCTCCCCACTCTCAGCAGGAGTGGCGGGGGCTGCAGTAGCTATTAGGCTTGTGACTGCCTGAGTTTGGACTGCGGCTTTCTGTCCAGAATTGATCATATTCCCTACGGGAGGGAACTCTCTCGTAATAAAAGACAACTCAGTGACTAAAGGAATGATCGGTGTTGTTGCATGGAGGACCACTTGTGGTTCTCTGGACAGACTGGGTGACTCAGTTTCTGCGAGGATTTTCAACTCGATCGTTGTAGCCTCTGATATATTCTGTTTAGCTAGAAAAATAATTTCAAAGAGTTGATTAGACAAGTCACTCAAATAATGCTGCATATCCAGTGTTTGTATTTCTGGAATGGCCATGGGGTTTTGTGGTGGAAGAAGAATCTAAGCAGTGTGACCCAAAGACACAAAATTGAACACTTAAGAGCCACAAATAGGTAAGTTGCTTCATATTGTAAGGGCAATAATGGTCATTACTCATAGGTAGGAAAGACTGTTCTCAAAGGAAATGAATATTACTTGGTTCTAGGAAATGAGAGGCCCAAGAAAATATAAATCCAGAGTGTGGACACAATGAATCATTTATTTATTAGAAACTACAGCAGCAACTTGAAACCTAGGAGGAGAACATGGCGCTGTGACCCTTCTGGAGGCCATGGTGCCCTGCCGCTAGCTCTCCCCAAGCACTCCTCCTCAGCTGCACAGTGTCTCGAGGGAGAAGGAGTGTCTCAGACTGCAAGACAACACAGAAACCACATCAAATGAAGCGGGCTTCCATAGGAGCCATTACCCTGGCCTCGATGTGAAGACTTCCATCAAAACAGGATATTAAACTTTTTAATAGCGCTCTTCATTTGGTTCCAGGTGTTGGACCTTTCATCTTCATCTTCCTTCCAAGTCCGTAGGCTCATGTCTAACAATTATCAAATGTGTCTAGCAGAGGCTGCCTGGCATTTGTTGTAGCCCTACACTTTGTTCTACATTCTACACACTATGTTTGTACCTCTTCCAGGCTCTAGTTCCTGTCTTTGTTTAGTATGAAACATAAGCTCACAGGAAGTAAGGTACCCACATGATGTATTTTAGGTCTATAATTACAAATCACTTGAACAGTCCTGAACATGAGCAAGAGTGGACTCGGGCAATATAAAGTAACCTGTCATCATAAAACACTACATTATGCCTCTACATTTCTGCAGAATTGCTGGCCTGCTTCAAGACTTTTTTAAATCAGTCATGACAGCGTCCACATTTTCAGCAAAATTCCTCAATACGGGGAAAACACACCAGCCTGGCACATAAGGGTTGTTGTTTAAAAACAAATCCAAATTTTTGAAAATTAAAAATTAGCTGCCATTGATCTCGCAAGGAACTGGTCTTGGGAACCCCACAGTCGTCGCTTGGCTGCAGCCTCTGTGACTCAGCACTGGGTACATGGGCAATGCCTGTTCCCCCGATGACATGTGTAATATGTGTCACAACTCACATCTCCAAATGGAAAGCCCTAAAATCCAAAATTGGGTCCCTTTTGACTCCATTGTTCCTGTCAAAATGTAATGATGAAATAGTGTGGCTTTTTTGTAGAACAGAGTAAAGTAATAACAGGTTCCTTACATTTGTCCAGCATATGCTCTTACCAGCTGTTCTATTCTCCGGAACATTTAAAAGCCTGGATTTTTCTATTTTATAGTGAACACTCAGAGGTCATTGCATTATTGTGACCTGAAATACTCTTACAAGTCTGTCATTATATATCCCTTTCTACTAAACAAAGAAGAACTGAGGGCTTTAAAAACATGTGAAATATCCTTTTTTTTTCGCCTTTTAAAAAAAACTTTTTTTCCCCTTCATTTCCTGAAAGAGGCATTGGTCTACTTTGATTGACATGAACAACTTAAAGGCCCAAACTGTGGTTGACTATTTTTCTTTTAATTCAATTCTCTATCCTCTGAAATTCCATCACCGTTACCTCATTTCATTGCCAAATTTCATGTTTGTCTTATAACCGAATTCTTTGGGGAAATAATAAAAAATATGTACAGAGAAAGCTCCCATAGAAACATAATATAAACTTTTAAAACATTGGATATTACAGAAAATTTAATCATATTATTAATAACAACAAAAGGGCTAATTTTACTTATTCCCTCTGAGTATTTTCATGACTGATGAAGTTAATTTAAGGTGGTATTACACCAAGGCCAAACAAAGGGCTTATGAGTCAGGTCTTCCTATATTCCAAGACAAGCACTCTGTTCCTGAGGCTCTACAATGCTATGAAAATATTTTTATAGTATTTTTTAAATGGGCTCAGATTTTAAAAACTAAATAAACATATGTCATTGTCAATTATTACTGTACAGCCCGCTGTGGCCTTACTGCATGATAAAAAGATAGCAATACTTCTCAGGGAATCCGCCTTCCAAAGTCAGGATTTATATGGCCTTGTTTGCAGGAAGAAAAAAGATTTTCTCCAATTTTAGAGTACAGTTTTCAAAAATCTGTTTACAATTAAGTTAATTAATTCTATGACTCGGAATGAAAAGCCTCAGACTTCCTTCGGGGTGGGGTGGTGTTGCTGTCAACCGCACAGCTGACTTCCATCTTAACTCCCCGTGTCTCACCATCTCTATCATTTGTCTCAGCTGGCCCAAAAAAGGGACTAATTTTCCAAAAGCACAGATATCTACAAAGAGACAGGTTAAGAATGCACACAACTGTGTCACAGATGAGTACCGTAAAGGTGAAGCCACAGCCCTGGGTCAGTCGGGAAAGCCCTTCCTGAAGGTGCGTCCACATGGAGACATTCTGGGCTTGGAAAACGCCCAGTGTTCCTTCTACCTCATTACTGAGGAAGCCAGCAAAAATCAGCATACTTCTTTTCCCACAAAAGTTCCCTTCCAACCTTTGCAGCTGTCTGCCGCACAGATGTTTCACATCACTGTACTTATGGTATTTTATGTTCTATAGACTATCTTCTCTGAGCTTCTGTTGCGAGACATGAGGCAGATTTTCCTAATAAAATGTAAAACCCCTCTTAGCACATCACAGCCCATTTAACTCATACCTCACAGTGCCCAATTATGGAGCAACGACTAACTTGTACTTCTTTTACCTAAATAGATCCATCAATAAGTGCAAACGGATGGAGTGGAGGCAAATGAAGTGGGTGTTCAGTGGGTGCACTGTAGCTTCCTAGTTGGGGAAGGGGACCAGGTTGAAAAGGGGTTAGATCCAAGCTGTCTTTTACAAGTTTTGAGTAAAAGCCAAATGATTCCAGTTTAATAAACAAGAAACAGATTTTAAGTACAAATTGGGGAAGGATTTGTTTTGTAACCTAGAGGCAGATTATGATTTAGGGCAAAAAAATGAAATAAAAACAAAACGGGAAAAAAAAGGTGATGAAGTGCCTCTGGGTTAGCAGAGCAGGCACCTTTAAATGTGAGCACGTGGGTTCGATCACACAGGAAGTAGGAGGAGCAACCCTAGCTCTGTGCCCTTGCTTCTACTCCTTCCAAACATCAGCGAACAATGAGACAAAAAAGGCAGCACAGCTTGAGAGATTGTGTGGTCATTCCAGGTTTCAATGAATACCTCAAAGCAAGGAAACCATTTCTTCAGAAATGCAGAGAGACAAATAGCTGTGCTCAGCAGTGAGCTGCTACTTAGATTTCGTGTTCAGCACAAAAATGGGTTCAACTCTAATGCTGAAACTCTAAGATAGTAGCCTGCTCTGGCAGTGACAGCTGTAAATACTAGAATGGGTTCTCTAGGAAACTCGCGCTTGCTTTTGCTCCTGAGAGAACCGCGAGTGCTAGACAGGTCTGACCGGGCCGACTGGGGGAGCCACAGGGTGCTCGCTTGCAGCTCTCTATGTTTTTATGACGTCTAACTTTTGCAGAGCTTGCATAGTTCTGAGGCCAAAGAAAACTAAAGAGCACACAGTTTAATTTAATCAAGAGAAGATAGATGGGAAAACTGTTCCGCAAGGAGATCCATTACCTGTGTATCGAGTCTAGGTGGCCAGAATACCGTGCATCTATATTTACTGACAGTAACTCTTAAGTGTGCTATTCAGTGAGCTTACTGGGAGAAAGAAAGGACAGCGAAACAAGATTTGGAGCATTCATTCACCAACTGGCTTTCACAGAAACAGTCTATATGTGATAAAAGCGAATGAGAAAATGTGGGTACATTTCCAAATTCCTCTGCTAAACCAGCTGTTCGATATTGAATCCACTTCTGGAACTGGAGCTGGGACCACAACTCATAAACTGTACCCTGCAGGATTTAGTCACCCCTGGACTATGTGGGAAAAGTGGGCAGGAGTAGAGTCATTTTGAAAATGCATATTAAAAGAATCCTTGCAAAATGTGTCAGAATGTTAGGGAGCTGTTAGCACTGTGTGTAGTATAAGGAAGGTTTTTATGTCATGGCTAGATTTCTTAACCTCTCATGTTCTGAACAAATTCTGAATATGATAGGATTTCAGGGAGGAAAGAATTAGCGAAGCTTGGGACTCCAGCTTATGGGGAAGAACACCAAATTAGGAGTCCGTTCTATTTCCAAGTTCTACACATTCAGCGAATTAGCAAAAACAAATACATCTAAACCCTCCATCCTTTTTTTCCATTTTGTTTAGGTTTTTAGTGCATGGTTGTTCTATTTAAATCTAAACATGTTATTTCATGCATTTGTGTGAATATTTCATTTAAATAAATAATTTAAGACAAGTCAAGTTGAATTTTTAATAATAATCTTCATGGCTATAGATAAGCCTGGATTTCAATTTTATCCTCAGGGAGAAAGACATGTTGTTTAAAAGCTTTCTAGGGCCAGTTTTGTGCTTCACAGAAATAAAATAATTAAAATATTCAGGCTCTGCTCTGTTCCTTCCACTCTGTGGTGTCTCCGACTCCTCTCTCACACATTAATTGAATTTCGTTCCTCTGCCTCATTGCTCCCTAAATGTAAAACTGAGATTAAAGCCTGAATTACGTGCAAGATTCTGTTGTGACCACACAGCTCTAAGGAACGCATATCTGCCTGCTTTCAGGAGGAGGTGTGAGCTATGGTTTTCCTGGGAGTGACTGAGGAAGACGGAGCGTGGGGATCTGAGAACAAAAGCCAGAGTTTGGTATGGCTGCGCGGACCTAACCACAGCGGACACTCTGCTTCGGCACAGCCAAGGCCGAGGGAGAGGAAGAGAGCAGACACCTCAGCCTGCGGGCATGGAAGAAAGAAGGTCGCGCAGTCACGCGGAGGTCCACTGCGC